TATATATATAATAATACATTATTTTTCTTTAACAGATACATTAATTTCGTCAGAAGTAATCGATACTATTCTGGTACGCGTCGGAGCTGTACACAGGCTGCCAACCACATGGAAACACGACGACTATATAGTAGCAGCTCAAATCTTTCATGGAACCAGACCGGTAGGAAATCCGGTTTTGTCGGAACCAATGACAGTCAGCACGAACTTTTACCCAAGAATTTTATTTAATTCATGGTAAGAACGGGAATGCATGCTATACGTCTACTTTTCAGAAAAAATACTTAAAAAATTGCATAAGAACCATATAATTTACATTTAGGCTGGAATTTCGTGGAATAAGTGTCTGTCAAGTACCAAGAGAAGCTAGACTTGTGCTAGTTCTTTACGGCCGAACTTTACAACCTGCCGAGCACGAATCAAACTCGTCAGCAGAGAATGCGATGCAGAAGGAAGAACTCGGATGGGGTGCTATACAGTTCTTTGATTATGACGGGTAAGTGACGAGTGCTGTAAATCATTTACCATGATTTTCATGCAAATTTCGAGCAAAATGTTATCTTTTCATCTTTAATGAGATACATCATCTGTTTTTTTGCATACATTTTCATACATCTTTATTTTCTATTATAGTGTTATGAGCCAAGGGAGTTTTTTCCTGTCCCTTTGGCCAGCTATCGCAGACAAAAGATTAGGCCCAGCGCCGGCACCTGGAATTCACCCCCGTGGCGATACTCATCCCATTATAGGCTTAGAATTGCCTGATTACGGAGGAAAGGTATTATTCCCATCGGAATTGAGAGATTACGACGTGGAATCGTTAGACTTTAATTCGCTAGATCAAAATACACAAGAACTATTGATAGATATTACACAGCAGGATACGTTCTCCAGGTATGGTTTAATGACTCTAATGTAACGATCCTAAAGTAATAAAAAATATTTGTAAAATTCTAAACCTGAATATATGTTCTGTAAAAATCAATTCTTATTTCCAGACCACCCATTGACGAAAGAGAAATTTTATGGGAGAAAAGACATTACTTGCACGATAGGCCCGAAGCTTTACCTAAAGTATTATTAGCTGCGCATAGTTGGGATTGGGCGTGCTTGCCGGATTTACACGCTTCGCTCAGAGTTTGGAGTTCACTGCCTCCGATACAGGCCCTACAATTACTTCTACCGTGGTATATTTTTATTGTTGGAGATTATTTCTCCATTATAGAATTTCTTAAAAAGACAAATAATATATCATAGAATATCACATGTTTTTGTTTCTCATAGTTTCCCAGATATGAAAGTCAGAGAAATGGCAGTCGGATGGATTCGCGAGTTAAGTAATGACGAACTTGTCGATTACTTGCCACAACTACTTCAAGCAATGAAACACGAGACATACGAAGCTTCACCTCTGACTCGATTCTTGTTAGAGCGTGCCTTATTTTCTCCAAGAGTAGCCCATCATATTTACTGGTTATTAACTCAAGCGCTGCCGGGACAGAGTCCCCAGGTACAGGTTGGGTGATCGTGAGCGTTAAACATTATTAATTGCTTGTGTATTGAACATTTAGTAGTAACAAAATATTCTCATTGCAATTATATTATATTGGATTATAGTGATTAAAAAGTTACTTATATTTTTATATAAATGATAAAATTAAGCGAATAAAATTGCTTATCGCGATTTAGATCATATAAAAATTATTGTAATAAAAGATATCATTTTTTCAGAATTCTGCTGAAATTGCTATAGAAGATGATAAAGCTATTAGTTGTGCTCGTTATCAACTAAGATTACAATTAATGTTAAGAGCATTACTGGCAGTTATTGGAGATGCACTGAGAAATAGTTTCCTGACCCAACAATTGCTAGTTAAAGTACGTTTTAATTATATATATGTATTTTAATTATATATATATAAAGTTTGCATCAAACGACCATATGATTTAATTTACAACTCTTATAGAATCTGCATGAAATAGCTGAAAATATCAAAATTACAAAGGAATCGTTACGAATGGAGACACTTAAAACTGGTTTGCAAAATATACATTGTCAATTAATGGAGGACGATGGCACATGTTTACCATTATCTCCTAGTAAGTTAGTATACGGTATCAGTGTACAGACATGCGCCTATTTTCCGTCGTTCACTCTTCCATTAAAAATTAACTTCATTAGTTGCGACAATGTAATAAGTCCGGCAATCTTTAAGGTATGTGTTTTCAAACTAATTTAATACAAATCTTTTATAAAACTATTTTATTCCATGTATATGTATATGTGACTTTTTTTCTTTTCAGGTCGGCGATGATTTACAGCAAGATATGTTGACTCTCCAAATGGTACGTATCATGGACAAATTGTGGTTAAAGGAAGGCCTCGATCTGAAAATTGTCACTTTTGCCTGTGTGCCTACTGGCCACAAACGTGGAATGATAGAAATGGTAACGAATGCAGAAACATTACGGAAGATCCAAGTTGAATTCGGATTAACCGGATCATTTAAGGATCGACCGATCGCAGAATGGCTGGCGAAGCATAATCCGTCAGAACTGGAATACGAAAGGGCGGTGGAAAACTTCACCGCGTCTTGCGCTGGTTATAGCGTCGCCACTTATATTTTAGGAATTTGTGATAGACATAATGATAATATTATGTTAAAAACATCTGGTCATTTGTTCCATATCGATTTTGGAAAATTCCTTGGTGATGCGCAAATGTTTGGAAACTTTAAGAGGTAGCATACATACACGACAATTTATTGCATATTTAACGATTTTCTTACGCATAGTTAACGATGCTTATGCGAGTTACATTGTATTATCCATGATTTGTTCCTGACACATTGCAATACATAAATTGCATGTTTTATTTCTATTTTAATTCGAATAACAAGTATGTTTTACTTATATTTTTTTCAATTTTCAGAGACCGAACGCCGTTTGTGCTAACATCAGATATGGCATATGTTATAAATGGTGGCGATAAACCTTCAGCGAAATTTCACCATTTCGTGGATCTGTGCTGTCAAGCTTTTAATATAGTACGGAAACATGGAAATCTGATTCTTCATCTTTTTGGCTTGGTATGTTATATATAACATTTATATTTAAAAAAAATTAATTCTCCTCTAATTGAAAAAGAAAAATACGAATGCTATTTGCAATCTTAATAACTTCTTATAATTTCTCAGTTTTTCTGATAAAATCCAATTGGATTCTGTCTGTGCCAAAATATTGTTTTATACATATAATTACGGATAACAAATGAATTGTTAGCATAATATTTTTTATTTCTAATTAATTTTATACTGTATACCAAATTTTTATCCAGAAAGATTATTCTAAAAAAAACAATCTTTATTTTTCTTTTTTATATTGTATAATTAAATTGAAATAGATTTATAAATATCAAATAACAAAATTAAAATTAAATTAAAATTAAATTATTCTAAAAGGACCTAAACTTCTTTGATACCTCAACTAATAATATAAAAATATATAATAGAAATTCTTAATTAATTAATTATTCTTATAAATGCAATATATAAAATAAAGAATTTACTAATTCTGTGGTCTTCGACATTGCTATGAAAACAATAAAGCCACAACGGAAGGACTTTATCCGTATGTTTTATCAGAAAGCGGACCACTATCGCACTAAACTATACACGATGTTGTTAATTGGTCATTATCGCCTGCACTCTTACAAAATATTGTATGCTGTAGCAGTTTGAGTCAATCATGTTGAGAGTAAAGTGTCATTGGAAGTGAATAAAAGTTGACGAATCGTTATAATATTATCATAAAATCTCCATAAAAATCAACATTACCGACGAATAGAGAAATCCATTTGTTATCACTTTAAAAAAGATAAATTCATACACAATGGATGACTTAATATCCCGAAAAAATCTTTTCGATCAAACGCAAAAGCAAGATGTTATAGCGCGAAAATTGCACGACATCGAAATAAAAGATCATTTAAATAAAGCAAGAATGAATGAGTACACCACTTCGCAGATGACTTCGTCCGGTATCCCTGGGGTTACTATGGACGCTGTAAGTTACGTGCAGAAGGCATTGCTTCCTGGGCAAACGAATCCCGAAGCAGCGGCGACCTTCGCTCGAATGATAGAAAGTTCCTTGAAGAGCTGGTTCACGCAATTCAACTTCTTCTTGCATAATCTGGCACAGCTGAGATTCTCCGGCGATCACAGCGAAGGAGAACTGCTGTCCTTCATTCCGCGTACATACACGTGAGTATTTTCTATCTTTGATATTATATAATCGATCGCAATGGCAAAAAAATTGGAAAATCTGAAAATATAACTCTTCTAGTTTTTCACGAATACTATTTATTTATAATCACTTATACAATTATAATACAAGCTTTATATTTGTATAATCATTGTAGGATGCAACAGGAAGGTCAATTAACAAGCGTGCAAGTTCACGGATATCAGAAACGTTACGATCCAGAAAAATATTACATGTATATTTTGCGAATACAACGAAAAGGACAACCGGATCCGACGTATCTGTTCCGATCGTACAAAGAATTTTGTGAATTCTACCAGAAATTGTGCATACATTTTCCACTTGCTAAAGTAGCCAGGTAAAGATTACACGACATATTTTATTTTTATTATTTTATCTCACTGTTATTATTATCCTAATGCTTTTCAGAATGCTTAAAGCAAGACTTAAAACTTATATATTGCATATCTGCTTATATTTTAAAGTACTTCATATTTTTATATATGAATATATAGTATATATTTATTATTGTGTGATTCTATATATAATTAAAGCTAAATTAATTTGTCTTAATTTTTATATATAATTTATATATTCAAAATTAATTTAAGTTAAATTAATTTTGAGTATATAAATTAAATATATATGTAATATTTTTCAGATATTTCTCTATGTAACATTTATTTTATATATATATATATATATATATATATATATATATATATGATAAATTTAGATACATAGAGAAATATCTGAATCGAGACAAAAGTATCAAACTTCATATATAAGATATCTTTCTACATATGGTACTTTCTACAACACATTTTTTTCTTATCTCTCCTTTCTTAAATCACCAACCACTCGCTTTCCAAACGATTGTTTGTATCTGAATTATTACTTCGCTCTGTATTCATATTATTTAATTCCTCCTGTGACGAGTATTGTTCTTTTGAATCAACTAACTCGTTATCTGAACTATCACTTTGCTCTTTATTCTTCTTATTTGATTCCTCATCCTGTGATAAGTATTGTTCTTTTAAATTTGAGTCAATTAATTTATTATCTGAACGACTCTTTACGTTTAAACTATTACTTCGCTCTCTATTGTTATTTAATTTCTCATCTTGTGGCAAGGCTTGTTCTTTTAAATCTGAATCTTTGGATGTAGAAGGGTCCGTGTTTACATTCTTATAATTATCATGCTTTTGCGAATCAATTGATGATGATAATTGACTCGCAAGGTCTGCTTTCGAACGTTTATGTTGCGCTTCTTCTTTATTGGCAAATGCTGTCGAATCACTGGTGATCGAAGGAGAAGAGACTTCATTTTTTGCCAAGACTTCATTTTTCACATTCGATTCAAAGTGCGAAGTTCTTCGATATAAACCTATCATTCCTGGAACTCTAGACGCTTCTTTCTTCAACTTCGTCAACGATAAATGTGCTCGAAACCATTTTAAACCCATCTTTCTTAAAATTTAATGTTAAACCTTAAAAATATACAAATGATGTTTTTTTATTGATAATTTTACGAATGTTATATATATATATATATATATATATATATATATATTGAAAATATAAGCTTACTCACTCGTGCGGAAGAAAAGAAAAATCTGTAATGTATTAACAAGTAATTAGATAGATCTTCTTTGAAATTACAGTATATTATTTTTTTATATATCTCCCCTAAAATTAATTTATTATCTTTTTTATTGTGTTTTGCAATATTAATATAAGAATTATCTTATATACACATATACACATTAGTGTATATAATAATTATTATATATAAATAAATACTTACAATGTAAAATTGTTAAGAGAGAATTATTATCACTTTGCTTGCGGAAGAAAATAGATATCAAGTATCAAATTATCACGAAAAGTCGAATGATATAATCAGAATGTTATTATATTTTAAGTAATCACACATAAATCTGCTTACACACGTTATCATAAACAAAAACTTTCCTCGAAGTATCAAAAAAGTGAATATGACAAAATAGAACCAGCACGTAGCGAATTCGCAAAGCGTATATAAGGAGATATAAAACGCAAAAACTCTTGATACATAATCGTATCTCTTGATATGCTTTATCTTTAGATTATCCGATATTAGCCACACATATCACGACGAGTCATTCAAAGATTGAGTGGCGAATATTGCATAAAATTCTTTAAGCACTAATATTGTAAGAAGCGAATTATTTAGAACCGGCATTCCTGTCACAAATTAAAACGCTGTTTAAATTTATGATTCTATTATAATATAAAAATTTCAATGCTATTACTGCTTAACACGTTTGGCTTAATATGTTTGGCTTCTATATTGTTTATTTATGAGACATCATCTGATATATATACATTATAATTTTCTAGAGACACGAAAATAGGATGCTTATATAATATCGAATATACGCGAAAGTATCCCCATTTATTGGCATTCCGACAGAGTAATCTCGACTCTTTCTATTTTTTTTGCAGTTTGCCGAGTGGGATAAGCGTAGGACGTTCTAATATTAAACAAGTAGCTGATAAACGGCGAGCGGATATAGAGAAGTTCCTTGTAAGTTTATTTAAAATGGCACCCGAGATATCTCAGAGCGATTTGGTATATACTTTTTTCCATCCATTGTTACGAGACCAACAAAATGCCGATATACGTTTACGTAAAGTCAAAGGTATATTCTCTAATATATATATTATATTTTTTTCAATTTTTTTTATTTTCAAATATTATCATAATTGTGCAATATATGTTGAGTATCATATATACATGTATAAATTTAAAAAAAATATATATATATATATATTTTTTTTTTTAATCTACACATGTATATACAAAACATACTCAACATATGTTGCACAATTATGATAATATTTTAAAATAAAGATTTGCTGTCAGAAAAGCTGTAAAGATAATGTGAAATTGATGAAAATAATCGTTCAACACTTGGCTGATTTTCAATTATGAATATTTAAATCTTGTAATGAAATTAGTAATTTATGGAATAGAAATAAAGAAATAGTAATTTAGTTCAGACTAGTTGGATGGCCGAAAGAGAATTAGAGATAATATACAGAGCGGCCAAATCAAATTGTCTCTTCATTACACTCGTGGTACTCTGTCCGTCATGGTTTGTCACGCCCGAGGACTCCCCAAAGTCGCTAATGCTCAAGAGCCGAACACATACGTAAAGGTATATCTTAAACCCGATCCTACAAAGGTGACAAAACGGAAAACGAAAGTAGTAAAGAAAAACTGTCATCCATCATTTATGGAGATGGTAAGTAATAAAATCAGATTTAATTTTTGATTAAGTTTTGTAAGCAAGTAAAAGATATATGAATCATTTAATAGTTAAGTGATGTTATCATTTTTATTGCACTCTTTAGTTGGAATATAGAATGCCTCTAGAAGTGATCAGAGAAAAAACACTCGAAGCAACTATATGGAATCACGATACATTACAAGAGAATGAATTTCTTGGTGGTATAAGTTTACCACTCGGACGTCTTGATTTAACAAACGAAACAATTGAATGGTTTCCATTAGGCAGTGTACGATGAGACGAGTACGAAGACTGTTCCGAAAGTTCTCTTAATGCTCATAAATATGATTATTAAAATATATAGGAAACATAACGTTAGCGCACATTGAAACTTTTTTATGCACAAGCAAGTGCGATAATCACCATGCTTCGCGAGGTAAAAGTAGTTTTTATTTATATATTTTCGTGCATCTCGACTAGAGATTCGTTTTTTTAACTTTTATTGAAGATTCTATATAGTAAATATTAAAAATTATGTGATATCCCGAAAAAGAGATAGTTATATATAAAGAAATAGAGAGTAAAGAGAGTCAACTTCTACAAAAATTGCTAAAAAATTAGGATATATTATAATTATACCTAAAAAAATTATCTAAATACGCATGAGCATGCGTAACAAATAGAAAGAAAAAAATGTTGTGAAAGTTTAGAATTATATATATATCTATAATTCTTTAATTATATATTTTCAATGAAAAAATATCTTTAAAAAATATGAAAAATTTAGCATGAATTTAATCTATTATCTATATATATTGTGGAAGTTTCTATATATATTGGAAACTATATATATTGGAAGTTTACTCTTTTACAGAAATTTTATACACTTATTTATTTATATACTTTTTATCAACTATATTGATCATTCTTATCAACTATACTGATCATTAATTGTAAATAGAAATTTAATGCATTTTATATCATACAAGTATGGTAATTTCTAATCAGCTATAATACTAAATTTTTTTAGAAATACTTTATAGTCTAAGTCTCTAAATGAAATTCTATACAATTTTTTATCACATATATCTGGTTAAAATTGAAATTTTATATAATATATATGTATAGCACACACACACACAACGAACACAGGTTCACACACATATTTCACTGACTTTTATGATGTTATTTTATCATTAGGAGAAAAATATACACATATATATTGCCTGTCTATGTATGGCCTCATTTATAATAAATGAATATAATATTAATGAAATTATGTAAATATGCTATCAAATTCACTTAGTAAATTATCTTTAATTATCTTATACTGCAGTACATGTTTGTATATCATATACACACAAATATATTATGCTATAATTCTATCTATAAATTCAAGAAAAGTTATTTTTCTCAATAAGCTCTAAAACTATCATTTAGCTTGAAAATAATATAATTGCTTTTTATTTATATGTATATAAGAAAGCTTAATAATGTCATGCATTTCACGGATATTTATAAAATTTTAAATTGGAAAAATATATATATATATTTTTTTTTATTTTACCGTTAATCGCTTTAAATCAGAGAGAGTCTAATAACGGTGTTTATGATATAATCATTAAATCTGCACAATAATGTGATTATATGTATAATGGGATTATTTAGCTATTAAACGCCTAGCTACTAGAAGCCTTTTAACACTGTCGATAAAGTCACTATTTGATGTTAACACGGGCATACATCAAATAATGATTTTATCGACGGTTGAAATTTATAAACGCTCACGCGCATGCGCACGTCTGCTTTTAAATTTCCCTCTGATAAAGGCAAAAAGAGACCTTCAAATGAATTTAAACAGAAAACACGTTTATCTTACGCTGTGGTGAATTAAAATAATATCTGTATTAAATAACATATCTGCGTAATTAAAAAGAAGATTGAGGAAGCTGATTTTATAACTGTGAGTATAATATATAATTAATATAAAAAACATAGAGAGATTTACACTATTTATGTTCAGAACTTATTTATAAGGGTTATGACACTAATAGATCCATATAGCATCCTATGTCCAAAAGACATTAACAGGACATCCTGAAGATGTCTAATCGCTCAAAGATATCTTCTGGATACCTTCTGGACATGTTTTGGATATGCATGCTATGTGGGGATATATGAAAAAGTCTGTGACTGAATTTTTTTAAGTAAATGTTTGCAGAAAATAAATTAATGTATGCATTTTTTTAGTATTTTAATTTTTAACGATTAATCATTAATCATTATATAATTAATTAAGAATATTTAAAATTAAAATACGCATAATGACAGCCCAATGATAAAAATCAAAAACTTGAATTAAAGGATAACCAATAATAGAGTTACCAGCTGTTGACAGTGGGCATATATATATGAAATTGAAAAATAATTATTACATATTATTATATCTAAATGTTTCGAAACTGCCATTTGAGGTTTTTTACGAAAAATTGGTTTAATCATTATAAGATGTAATTTCAATTTCTGTTTATTTAACGTTTTCTTTTCTGTATTTATTTCTTTTATCTTTTGTTTTGATTTCAACAGTATTATATTAACTTAGAGATGTGTTTATATTTTTTTTCAATATGAAGAACGCGTCACCGACGAGTATTATCGGTTAAAACAAGGATGACTTTTATGATATGTGTATGGGCATAATTTTAATAATCTGTTATAACTTTCGATGATTAAGAATACGTTTTCATATATCAGTTTTAATTTAGTATATAAATGCGGAATCGAAATGTTTGAATGTAATAATATATAATAATAATTTTCGATTTATTATACATGCACTATCAACAACTATTAGCTTTATTATTGATTATTCTTTAGCTTAAATTTTTAACAAAATATTTGATTATAATACTTACAATTAATAAAATTAATAATAATTATATAGAATTGATATATTAATATTAATAATACTAACCCTATAAGACACAATATTCCTAAAATATTGTATAAATATTATTAACAGTTAATAATATTTATACAATATTCTAGGAATATTGTGTGCTTATAGGGAATAATATTAATTAATACTTGAAAAAATAAAAGTATTAATATCTTATTTTAATATTTTTTTGTAGAAGAGAAGAAAGATTGGGAAAAATAAAAATGGAGTTGATTAGGAAAAATGATTAAAAGGATAAGGAAAGCCGAACATCTAGAATAAAACATGAAAAAGAAGGTAAATAAAAGAGAATAATTTTTTTATTCATTTTTTTATATCTGCTTAAAATCTCAAACTTAAAAAATACAATATCCCTTAAAGTTTTTTAGCTGAAAGTTTTTATAGCTATATTTTTGAATATATTTATATATAAATAAAATCTCCTTTTCTTTTTGTGAAAAATATTTTAAACGAAATTAGATTCAAATTTAATTAAAAAATTAAGTAATAAAATATTTATTTATTAATAAGCATAATGAATTTATACATAGAGCTATAGTTTTTTAAAAATCTTTTAAAACTTTTTTATATTGTGTTTAACTTTGTCAAATGTGCATCCTTATTACATTAAAATTATTATTGTCAACATTGAGATTTTATGTATACGTGTGTGATATAAAATTTAATCTTAAATATAATCTTTAAAAGCCGTATAAGTTCAAAGCTTAATTAAATGTTAATTTATAGAATAGCTTTATTCAAGCTGATGCAATTTCGCATTTTATGTAATCATATTTGAAACGATAACTTTTAACTAATGCTTCACGAAAACACTTTAACAAGATCGAACATATTCTAAATGAAACTTGTTTTATTTAAAATTTAAATTAATCTTTCAAATCAATTTAAAATTCAAGTACAATCTTCACATAAAATTGAATAAATATAATATCCAAGGTTTGTAATTTCGCTGCATCGTTTAAAATTCTATGCGTAAAATCATCCAATTGAACTCTTAGTGTGCGCACTCGCATGCTTAGAATGCATACTCACATTCATAAAACTCGCGGTTCGCCATGATATTTACTTTTTACACGAGAAGTATATATATATATATATATATATATATATATATATGCATACACATAATTGGAAGAAAAAATGTATTTCAATATATTCAATGATTTATAAATATTCGCGCTTTGTATAAAAATAAAGCGCATGTATATAAATAACATAATGGACAATCATTGAATATATTGAAATTGTATCTATATGTATGTATGTATATATATTCTTCCAAATACATATGTATTCCTCTTTTCTAAATTCTTTACTTACGTCTACGATCTGTTACCTGCTTATGAGAACCTCACCTATTATGAGAAACTCACCTATAGAAATATGGAAGAAATCGAGAATTGGTCGTTCCGCGTTTCTTGATGGTAGCCTACACTGCGAAAATTTCCCTCTCTCCATCATACACAAAAGGAACTTTCAGATGTCTTCGGAGAGGAGGAGTTTAGAATTTTGAATGGCTTACGAGCCCAAGAATAACTTGTTTACTGGATTAAACTTGTTGAATTAAATTTTTTTCTATCAAATCTCAACGGAAAATCGTAAATCATGACAGATATATATATATGTATAGAATTAATATCTATGCAACATTTTTAGATTTTTATCTTTAAAATAGAAATCTTTTTGCTACTCATAATTCAACTCTGCCACTATTCTTCAGAATTTTTTATAAATCAATAAATATACACATATATCTCTGACCTACACACATGATAAATATCTGATTCAACGTATTTTCTTTTTAATTATTAAATCTAATTGTTTTATTCTGATATTTTTTGTCAAATTTTCTTTTTTTGTCAAACTCTTCATGCTTTATTTTATGTATTCGCGTAAATATAATTATTTATTTACTTATATTTATTTATTTATAAACAAGCAACAAATTTCTTTAATAAAATTAATTACAAATGCATTTGAATATCTAATAAAAGCCTAGCGCAATAAATAGTCTCAACTATCTAAAAATATTCTTTAATTAAATTGAACATTTCGGTCCTTTTTTTTGATTATTTTCGAAATATAATGCGCTAAATTTGGATTTGAATAAAAATTTTTTATAATAAATTTTTATAATAAATAATTTTTTATAATTAAATCTGATTTAAACTCAAAGACCGACGAAATATTTTATAATTTATTTTATTATTTATTTTATTATTTATATATACATATATACATATAATTACTTCAATATAACATTGTTAAATAATTACTATTGATTCTTTCATATTTATGCATGTTTAAGTCGATTTTTTGTTCATTTCTTTTAAACCGTGTCGTAGAAATGGCGAAGCATTATAACAATACTAACAATAGCGTAACTTATCCTAAATGTGAAACGTGTCAACACCAATCCTAAATCTCAAGGTTAAAACTTTCTTTTTTTTTCTTTTCGGCGTTTTAATGAGACTCAGAGAACATCCGAAACTCAGAGACTCCGAACATTTATTCTCTGCGAGTGTGCTGGATGCATTTCCGGATGCTTTCCGAAAATCCCTCGCCTAAAAGGAAAATTATTATATAATATAAGCATGCGTCTACAAAGATTTAACACTAAAATTTTAAAGACGGTAATTTTAAAGACGGTTTTAAAAACGGTAAAGACTTTTTTTGTTAATGTTATCGGAATGAATGAACTTAATCTTTATATGAATTTTACTTTAGGTTTACTCGAAAAAAATTTGCAACTACAGATGAGATATCTAAACATATAAATATCTAAATATAGAATTAGATAAGCGAAAAGCCTATAAAGATTGAATATACAGTGTCTACATATTAAATTTTTTTTAATAATAGAGTTGTAAAAAGTATCTCGAATTAAAGTTATTTTGTTTACGAAAAGACTTAAATAATGATAATAATAAATAATTTTTAATATTTTATATAATAGTTTATATAAAGATTAATACATACTTTTGCATCGTTTTGCAGAGGTATTGTTATTTTCTTTAAGTATAGTCTTTTATATCTTCCTAAGATCGTACAGTACTCAAAAATATAACTGAATTTGTTTACACAACAGATTTCGATCAAATAAATCTCGCGAAATATGCATTTTATCAGATTATAATAACATGAAAATATCAGCTTTTTATTATTTAAATTATTTGATGGCATTATTATATACTCTCTATTAAAGCACGATGCAAAATGTATTCGAACTTAAGTATATTGTAGATAATCAAAAAGAAAAGGATCAAATATTGAATTAAAATATTAATTTAAAAATATATAACCAAATCATTAAATTAACAAAAAAAGCAATTATATTTTATTGCGAGAGAATGTTAGTCACTTTCCGTTGCTCTATCTGATAACTCATTCGATCTAAATCTCTAAATCGTTAGACCTGCTGAATTCTTACTCCGAGATGCTTTAGTTCTTCACACACATCTTCATCAAATAATAATAAAATCTCAATTATTTCGCGTATGCTGCCACCGATAAATTATTATTAATTATACAATCATAAAATTTAATAACAAAATACAATGATAATTTTTGGTTTTGTAATATGATTAAGAGAAAATTATGTGTAACACATGTCGCTGTGTTCAATAAACCATTTTGAACTTACAAAAACCTGCTGACAAGTCACTCGGGAATAACAACAATAAATTAGCTGAAGCACAATGTTATATACAATCTCAATGAGTAACTTTCTAGTATACGTCCTAGGGAACTCTTCAAAGAACGAGAAAGAGAATCTCTATTTAAAGCATCGTCGTAAATATTATGCAATCGCAATTAATACCTCTACGTGTACTTACTGAGATATCGTATACGCTATGTTGTGCGACAACTGTGACATACTATGTAGCACGGATATCCAATAAATCATTTAAATCATTTTTTTAAATTCAATTCTTCGATTAAATTTCAAAAAATTCCACGCAGAGTTTGACAGGCACAATTTTGCGGATTAATAAAATGTAATTAATACGAATTATCGCGTAAATAATTTAAATATAACATATGTTTATAAATATATAATAACAATATGTATAAAATGTGATGACAACATCTTAAATTTTCATAAATGTTCCCCCTTTTATCGATTTCATACAAAAGATCTTTTTCTTATAATTTTATTCAATATACGATCATAGTGTTTTTATTAATTTACAATCGATTGAGATGATTAAATTACTAATTTTATTTAAATATAAACTTTGAATTAGTCATCATATTTTGAACCATATTTGAGATAATTTCTCGATTATATTATTACGCGCTTCCAGGATCTAATGTTATATTCGCCGATTAAACGTTTGAACTTCTGACCGGCTATAATGCCAGTGCGAGAGCTTTCCGCGGCCCTCGAGGACGAAGGGCTTTTAGGTACTAATTTTATGTAAAGTTATGAGACGTTGCGGTGCTCTGATGTGCCATCACGCTTCCCGCAGGTGCTATAATCGAGAGGTTGCGCTTCACGACCACCGCGTTGCAGTATAACTAAATGTTCTGCTAGGAATTCCGAGTTATCTTTTGGACATAACAGAGAGCATTCAACGCGAAAATAAACTAAATTTTTGGATCTTATGAAAAATCGATATCATATTCATAGACGAAAAATAGAGAGTAAATCGAAAGTGGCGAGAAATTTTAAGCCAAAAGAACGAACAGAATTAAATTGCCAAGATTACATTTTATAATTACATTTTATTCCAGTTTGTAAAACGATATTTTATAATTAAACTTTTTGATGATTGCTTAAAAATCCAATAACATCCAAGTGCAAAATTATCTCAGATAAATACAATCTCGTTCTAATTTTATGTTCATTAATATATAATTTGATTTGAAAATGCATGTGTATGCATATATAAATATAAATATATAGATATTTTATGAAAACTTTTTGTAAGCAATTAATTTAAAAAAAAATAAAATGATCAACAAATTAATTATAATAGGAATGCTATAAGAAGATATCGTCATGCAATGCATAAATAAGCTGCAGCGGGCACTCTACGCGCGCCTTCAGCGCAGTGAAGTGTTTATGGCACCATAAAAAAATAGAAAACATTTTTATAGGTTGATCATTAAAGTCGGCTCGGCGAAGCAACGAAGAAGATGTCCGCCAATTAATGTCCGCAGGCCCTCGCGTAACTATAACTCTCTACTCTGCACAACGCGAGAATTATATCGAATTATCTTCGTTCGATCAAGCTTTTCGTTTTTCTTTTTCCATGTTTATCGAAAGAAAT